ATGCCTAATTATGTCTAATAATTTAAGAAATGAAATTATTAGACTTCGTCAAAATGAAAGAAGGCAGGCTAGGCGAGTTGAGATAAACCGCCGTCGAAATGAAAGAGATGAGCCCAGGCGAGCTGAGATAAATCGTCGTCGAATTGAAAGAGATGAGCCCAGGCGAGCTGAGATAAATCGTCGTCGAATTGAAAGAGATGAGCCCCGGCGAGCTGAGATAAATCGTCGTCGAATTGAAAGAGATGAGCCCCGGCAAGCTGAGATAAATCGTCGTCGAATTGAAAGAGATGAGCCCCGGCGAGCTGAAATAAATTGTAATCAAAATGAAAGAAATCAGGCTAGGCGAGAACTTAATAGGTATAATATGCATCGCATAGCAAGAAATAATATTGCTATAGAGAGTAACTACCTTTAAACCATAATTGTCAGTATTGCAGTGCAAAGAAGTTTTTAAATGAAACTCATTTTTTGTGCTGCCATTCAGGAAAAGTTGTATTAGCTCCTCTTTCTCTTTATCCGCCATTGTTGACTGGTTTAATGACAGGAAACCATGTTGATCATGATATAAATCAAATTTTTTTTAAACACATAAGGAGTTATAATTCCTCTTTATCTTTTGCTTCCTTCACTGCCAAAATAGCTCCTCCCTCAAATAATGGCCCTTTCTGTTTTAGGGTCTGTGGGCAAATTTTGCATCGTGTTGGAAATTTAAGGCCTGCAGAAGGTTGTCTGCCCAAATAATGTCAGCTGTATATCTATGATCCTAATGCAGCAGTGTCATTCAGAATGGAACAACCTGGTAATGATGGTTTTATACATGAGTTAATGCAACTCTTGCAAACATTAATTAATCAAGAAAACCCATTTGCTCTTGCATTTAAAAACATGCAGAAGTAGAGGATGAAGAAATCCGCCAAGCAGCTTTAGAAGGTAGACCAACCTCTGTTGTAAGAATGTCTTTGCTTGAAGGTCATGATAGACGTCGATACAATCTTCCTTCCCATGAGGAAGTTGCTATTGTGTTTGTGGGAGATGATGGTGCTCCACCTGCATCCAGGGAAATTGTTATATACCTTCGAGGTCAGCCTTTAAGAACAATTTTGTCTATGTCTGCAAATTTGGATCCTTTGGTATATCCAATATTCTTCACGAGAGGTGATGCTGGATGACACAATCAACTAGAGCACAACCTTGACCGTGCAACCCGTGTTAGAAACCATGTTACTTTGTCTCAGTATTATAATTATAGGCTTGCTGTTAGACAAACTTTTAGTCCTATATTCTATGGTAAGAAACTTTTTTAGCAATATGTTGTTGATGCATATGTCAAAGTTGAGGGACAGCGCCTTGCTTTTATTAGAAATAACCAAAACAAACTTAGAAGTGAGCAATATGATGCATTGCATGAACATGTAATTAATCGTGCTAATGATCTTAATGTTAGACCGGGCCGTGTTGTTATATTGCCTTCTTCATATGTTGGTAGTCCAAGAGCATTAAAAGAAAACTTTGAAGATGCGATGGCAGTCATAAAGAAATATGGTAAACCAGATCTATTCATTACTTTTACCTGCAATCCAAAATGGAGAGAAATAGTAGAAAATTTAAACCCAGGCCAAACTGCTAATGACAGACCTGATTTAGTTTGTCGGGTATTTAAAATGAAACTTAAATTTTTCTGAGAGGATATTTTTAAGCATGGAGTCTTAGGCAAAGTTGTAAGTCATGTGCAGGTTATTGAGTTTCAAAAGCGTGGTTTGCCACATGTACATATTTTATTGCACTTTGTAAATGCTGATAAGCTAGAAACAGCAGAAGATATTGATAGTTTGATATCAGCAGAAATCCCAGACCCAGCTGTTGATCCTGAACTTTTTGAAATTATAAAATCATGCATGATACATAGACCATGTGGAATTTTAAATCCCAATTCTCCCTGCATAAAAGGTGGTAAATGTACAAAAAAATTTCCTAAGGAATTTAATCCCCACACTGTTGCAATTTTTAATGGTTATCCACGCTATAGGCGCGTCGATAATGGAAGAATTGTCAATATAAAAGGTAATCAAGTTGACAACCGTTGGGTTGTACCTTATAACCCATAGCTTTCTAAAAAATATCAAGCACACATAAATGTTGAAGCCTGCATGACCATAAAGTCAGTTAAGTATTTATATAAGTACATTTACAAAGGGCATGACTGTGCCAATGTGGTGATAAATGAGCAAGTTAACCATGATGAAATAAACACGTTTTTAAATTGTCGCTATGTGTCAGCTCCAGAAGCATTGTGGCGAATATTTGAGTATTCTTTAAGTGATATGTCACATAACATCATTCGACTTCAGGTTCATCTGCCAGATAATCAGATGATATAATTTGTAGAAGGCGAAGAACAGGCAGCTTTAGACCGTGCAGCACAGCGTGACACTCACCTAACTGCATGGTTTAAATTAAATGTTGAAAATGAACAAGCCCGACACTATCCATATGTTGAAATTCCTTACCACTTTGTTTTTGATAGCAAACATTTTTTTTTTTTTGTTCTTTTTATTTATTCAAAATAAGTTTTACAATATAAGAATGAATAAAATACTTATAGTCAGAATTACAATTTTGTTAACGTTACAACAAGAACGCGGATACTCGCAGAAGATCATAAGATCTTGTCATCGAGAACCGCCTAAACAGTTTTTAAATAATAAATAATCCTTTAATAACTCATAGACAAATATTCACACATAAATACAAATATAATTATTTATACATATTTAAACATACAAACATGTAAATAAATATACTTACACATCAATATATATATATATATATATATATACACATACATATAATACGCACAAATACACATACATATATACGTACATACATAAATATACATACACACATACATATATATATATATATCCATATATCCATATATACATATATACATATATATATATACATACATACACACATATACACATACATACATACACATATACACTTACAAACATATACCTATACATACATATATATATAAGTTATGATAAAAGATTTCGTATATATAAATTACAATAAAATATTTCTTAAGAGTATTAATAAAAAACAAAACAAACTTAAAAATATATCAGAATGTTTTCAACTGAGAAAAGAATTTCTTTTAATTTTCAATTAAATAAGAAAAAGTTCCATTCAAGAGAGAGATCAAAAAGTTTTAACACTATTTTGTTCCATAAAAATGCTCCTCTAAATGAAATACAAAATTTACCAAAATTAGTTTTGAAAACTGGTTGAAGAATAAAATTTTCATTACACAAATTGTATTTATTTCTAACTTTTAAAGAATATAAATTGTGAAAAGAAATTGGAGATGTGCGAGACTTACATTTAAACATAAAACACAATACATTAAAAATATTAAGTTGATATATATTAAGAATATTCATTTCGTTTAAAAGAGGCTTAGCATGATAAAATCGATGTTTAAAATTAATAGGTTGTGCAACATGTTTCTGTTGGCGATAAAGTGGTTCTAATTTAGTTTTCCTTACACTACCCCAAGCCGCATTAGCATAGTTTAGATGGCAATGAATAAAAGAGTGGTAAAGCTGAATTAAAGTATATTTATTTAGCATAGTTCTTATTTTAAATAGTATTCCTATACTTTTGGAAATTTTAGAGGATAAGTTTTCAATATGTTTTTTCCATGTCAGATTTTCATCAATAAAAACCCCTAAAAAATTTGTAGCCGTTACTCTTTTAATTTGAATGTCATCTATAAAAAAAGCAGGCAATTCACTTGGTAGATGATGTTTTTTGTAGTATGGATGAAAAAGAGACCATTTTGATTTTTCAATGTTAAGAGAAAGCTTATTTAATTTAAACCATTCTGAAATTTTAATTAATTCTATGTTCATACTTTGAAATAGGGTAATTATGTTACCATGAGATAGAAAAAAATTCGTGTCGTCAGCAAACATAATTGTCATTAAATTAGATGCTTCATAAAGGTCGTTTATGTAAATGAGAAATAGGAGAGGTCCTAGGACAGACCCTTGAGGAACTCCGCATGTTACATCTAACAAGTTTGATTTTGATGATACGTCATAGTGAACAAATTGCTTTCTATTACTTAAATAACTTTTTAAAAGCTTCAAAACATTGCCAGAGATTCCATAATATTTAAGTTTTTTAAAGAGAATTTTATGATCTATCGTATCAAAGGCTTTAGACAAGTCAATAAAAATGCCGAAAGTAAATTTGGAACTTTCAAATGATTCAGTAATATATTGTGTTATTTGGAGTATAGCGTGTTCAGTGGAGTTATTTTTTTTAAACCCATATTGATTTTTGTATAGGATATTATTTTGAGAAAGATGATTAAAAATTTTATTATAAAGAATTCTCTCTATATCTTTGAGAAAACAGAGAGAACAGATATTGGGCGGTAATTACTAACATTAAGTAAGTCTCCACCTTTAAATATTGGTGAAACTCTAGCTATTTTTAATTCATCAGGAATTCCTTGTTGAATTGAGCATTTAAATATTTTAAAAAGGATATGTGTTATGATATCATATGAATCAATGACAATGTTTCCATTGATATCATCAGGACCGACTGCTTTATTTAACTTTAGCATTTTAAAAGCTCTATCAAATTCATCAAAAGATAATTCAAAAGAATTTAGATAAGATATTAAAGGAAAACTACATCTGTTTATTGTTTTGTTTATGTTTGAAATTTTTTTTGCTAAATTTGGTCCAACTGAAGTAAAGAATTCATTCATTTTATTAGCTACCACTTCTGGATCATCAAATATTTTATTATCAATTTTAATAGCTTTAGGTAAAGAGCTAGCTTTCAATTTCTTACTGCCTTTAATTTCTCTTAAAACTTGCCATGTTTGCTTTGAATTATCTTTATATTTTTCTATTAAATTAATGTAGTATCTTTTTTTTAAATTTTTTCTTTGCATTTCAAATTTTTTAGCATTGTAAATGGAAAACATTGTAAATGGAAAGTTAGGCAAAGAGGTAGCAATAAGGTGATTGTTAGGATGTATAAAGTGAGTCCAATAGGTGAAATATTTTATCTTAGAATGTTACTTTTGCATGTTAGAGGTGCAGTTTCTTTTGAAGATTTGCGTACTGTTAATGGTACAGTTTTTAATACATTCCGAGAAGGATGTTCTCATTTAGGTCTGTTACAAGACGACGCTGAATGGAGAAATACATTAACTGAGGCTGCTGCAACTCGGTTGCCAAATCAAATTCGACAGTTGTTTTCCATTATTTTGACTTTCTGTGAACCTGATGATCCATTAAATCTTTGGAATGCCTTTAAAGATTTTATGATGGAGGATTACATTCACCATTCCATGCCACGAATAATTGCTGAACAGGCAGCTTTGCTGAAGTAGGAAGATTAAAATCAGACTTTAGCTGATTTCAATCTTCCTACTTTAGATGAGTTTTTAGATTATGTCCCACAAAATGAAGAGGAAGATGTTCAGGTTTTAATTGATGAAGCAAATAGGGTTAGACCATTGTTAAATGATAATCAGCGTCAAATTGCTGATGCTATCCTTTCTGCTCTTAGTGAGCAACCTAACAATGAAAACAAGCAGTCTAGATTGTTTTTTATGGATGGCCCTGCAGGTTGTGGTAAAACATTTACATACAATTATTTAATCGCTGAAACCAGCAGTAGACATATTATAACTGCAACAGCTGCATGGACAGGAATAGCTGCAACTCTTTTAAAAAAAGGATGTACACTTCATGGTTTGTTCAAACTTCCTGTGCCGATTTTGGAAAATAGCACATGCAATGTAACTCCAAATTCTATACACGGAAAATTCTTAAGGCAAGTTAGCCTTTATTTACTAGATGAGGCATCCATGTTACCTAAACATGCTTTAAATGCCATTGATAAGTTACTTCAAGACGTTTGCATCAACAAGTTTCCTTTCGGTGGTAAAGTTATTCTTATGGTTGGGGATTTTAGGCAAATACTTCCGGTTGTAAAGAGAGGGCAACCAGCTGATATTGTTGAAGCCTGTATAAAATGTTCTCAACATTGGCAATATGTTCAGCGATATTCATTAACAGAAAATATGAGGGTTCAGGCCGAAGAAGAGGAATTCTCTCAATGGCTTTTAAAACTTGGTAGTGGAACATTACCTTTAAAAGCAGATGGTTCCTTTTGCGGGTGCATTGAGATTCCTGAGCAATGCTTGCTTGGAGAAAATGAATCTTTAGTAGACAAGATTTTTGGAGTTGCAGAAGAAGATGATTATGCTAAACGTGCCATTTTGACACCCAATAATGTTGATTCTTTAGCAATAAATGAAGAAGTTTTGGACCGTTTACCAGGTGACGTTAAGGTTTATTTAAGTGCTGATACTATTAAAACAGATGATCTTAACGAAATCAATAATTTTCCTGTTGAGTTTTTAAACAGTCTTTCTCCATCAGGAATGCCTGTTCATTGCCTAAAGCTAAAAATTGGTGCTGTTATAATGTTACTTCGAAATTTAGATCTAAAAGCTGGACTTTGCAATGGTACCCGATTGATAGTGCGTGCTCTACAAAATAATTACATTGATGAGCAAGTTCTAACAGGTGTTTCAGTTGGCAAGAGGGTATTTGTCCCTCGGGTTCAGTTAACACAATCTGATTCAAATTTACCTTTTACTCTTAAGCGTCGTCAATTTCCTGTAAGATTAGCATACTCAATGACCATAAATAAAAGTCAAGGTCAAACTTTTGACAAAGTTGGTATTTATCTCAAAAACCCTTGCTTTTCACATGGTCAACTCTATGTTGCATGTTCAAGAACAAGATCGTTTAATACCTTATTTTTTAAAATTGATGAACATTCATTACAAGGTATGTCATTTAACAAATGCTACACAAACAATGTTGTATTTACCAATGTACTAAATCTATAAATAATTAATTTTTTACAATTAAACTCCTCATTTCTTATAAATATTTTAACTGTAATTTAAAGTATTTTTGTATGTTGCTTGATGCAATAATGTGTGATATTTATTATGTGTTTAAATATGTGTTAAGGTTATATTTTGTAAGTATTTATGTGTAATTAATGTGTAAATGGCTGTTACATATGAAGTGTATTTTTTGTTATGTTATCTGTTTATAGTTTGTGAGTTGTTATTATGTTGTTTTCATGATTTCAAAGTGGTGTGACTTGGCTTTGTTTATGGCAAGAGTGTTGTCCTTGCTAGCCAAGCGGTGTACTTTGAATAATGTGACTTGGCTTTGTTTATGGCAAGAGTGTTGTCCTTGCTAGCCAAGCGGCGTACTGACATGAAACACATAATAAAATCTGTTTGTAATCATAAATGTGTACTTGCAAGTATGTTATGCTGTTAGTAAATAAAGTATTTACAATAAAGTCTGGATAACTCAATAAATCAACTTAAATAAATCAAACTAATTTTAAAATTCCAGTTGAGCGATTGTTTATGGATCATACTACCACTAACTGAAATATTTTCTAATAAGCTAATTGCTTGATCTTTTGGTGGTTTAAGTTATTGAGTCTTTACTGTAAGATTTTGTGCTATTTGTTATTGATGTTTATGATGTTACTGTTGTGATGTTTTGTGTTGATAGACGACTTGGCTTACCTTCACGTCGGTGTCTATCGTTAAAAATGATTATAGGGTTGTTTCATACTGAAACTGACTATATATAATCATTCACTAAAAGCCAAGCATTCAATTTTTATATTAAACTGTAAGGGTTTATCTTTTTTTGATTATTTTTAGTGTGCTTTTTTTTGAAAAGAGTTTATAATCGAAACTTGCAACAAAAAATCTTGAAACCTTTACACAAAACCTACTCACACAAAAAAAACAATCTCAAAGTAAGTTTCTTATTTGATATCGCCTTGGTCACACTTTTGAGTTTTTAAATAAAAGAGTACATTAATGTGTTATGTTTTCAATAATTTTGTTTTATTTTAGTTCGAATGCCTTCTCTTAATGTTGATCGTTTTTTAACATCCAAAGGGAAGTTTTGTTAATCTTTATACCATTTACTAAAAGATATATTATAGGGAAACAATTCAAATTGATTTTATAAAGTACTTCTGATACTTTTTATGTTATATATAATAGATATTGTAAAATTTAAAAAAAAAAAAAAAAATTTTTTTTAATTTTATCTCAAGAAAAATGTTTTTTGTTTCTCACACAAATTTGTAAATTTTTTCTCTTTGGAATTATAGTATTTGATGGATACATTGCTCATTTTGCTTTTTTTATATATATCTCCGTTATATATGAATGGAAACCGTTAATACTTTTATTACCATGGTAATTACAGATCTAGATAGTTCCATTCCCATTAAGTATTTTACAAATTTTCGGTACAAATAATAGCTATAGTAGTTTAATAATTTGCTAATTTAAAAACATTTAGAAAAATTTGTTGCGAGTTTATTGTAGAAAATTTGCTTTTCAAACAAATAGAGCTAATTTTTGACATAATTAGGATTCGTCACCTGATTCTTTGTCAAATACTTCTCCTTTTTTAAATAGGAAAGGTTAAATTTTATAAAAAAGTTTGCCAAAACACTGGGAGAAATGTCACGTAATTGGTAACTATGTTAAATACACTTTTGTTAGGTCCACGTAATTTTCGAATCTGCTCATCACTACGTTAGATGGCGTTATTTCTTTAAAATACCTTAAAAATCTTCAATTCAAAAATTTTGTTTCGAATCATCAAAATATTGGCATATGATATAAATATACGATTCTAATAAACCAAAAGTATGTGGAAAAATTGCGCATACTTAGGCATCATAAAAACTTAATTCACACCAACCATTTACTTCGATATTTTTTAGTGTATGGCAGAAAAATAAATTACGAATTGTCTTAGATAAATAAAGTTACCGGACCTTTATTACTTAATCCATAAACAATTATTGTTTCATTCGATTTAACACCACATTAAAAAACAAAGCTTTTTCTATTTATTTTCGAAAAACGTTTTACTGGAAACCGAGTTCTTTTGTAGCATTTTAGTTAGAGTTATAGGAAAATCTATAACTCTTATTTTGTTAAGTAAAAAAAAAAATCTTATGCTCTTCTAATTTTAGTCACCAATAACAACTATGTTAGGAATAGTAGAAAATGTTATGTGTGGTAGAGAAACTGTTTTAGTGTGGTGTTGTAGGAGTACTGCGGGTCTAAGAAACTTTGTTTTCATCGATAAATTATTCTATTGGTCTATTAAAACAGTATGAAAACTTTCCAGTATTTATATTTGATATCTTTTTTTCATTTTATTTTATAATTGTAATTTAAGTTTCAAAAACCAGCAAAAACAACTTGAAAAGAACTATCGCACAATGACTCGCTTATACACATGATTCCAATTTCCTGATATACATGGAAATGCTGATATTGCTTTCACTATATTGTCTCTTTGTAATGTGTAACATCATTTTTACTTAGGTTTGCCAAATGACCGGCTTTTACAGAGTAGAATATAGTCCCAAACATATACAGTTCAGTTCTTTTACTGCTTTCTTCTTCATAAAAGCCGGACGTCTTGCAACCCTTAAATTTCCCCTTCTTTTTGTTTGCATAAATTACATAATTCTCTTAATTATAAATACTCCAAATCCGATTTTCGAACAGCTTATTTTAAAATCTAAAGAAATATAAGCGATTAAAGATTACATTTTGCAAGCCAACTAGATGCTTAAACAACTCAAAAGACAGCCACGCGCTCATTATAACTCTCTTATAGTTTTAGAATCTGAGTGAGTTACTGTTTTGAATATCTAAAATCTTCAAATTAAGTTTTTATGATTTTAAGTTAAATTAGACTTAAGAATATGTGTAAGAATTGAGAATAAATATTTACTTTTTATTTTAGAAATGAACACACAAGAAAATTTAAACGGTATGTATTTATTGCATATGTGTGTTAGTGCTGTATGCGCTTATATTAGATATTATATCTATATATCTATATATATCTAATATATGCGTATACAGCACAAACGCTATACTTTATTTAGTACGCATATATAAATATATAAATATAAATAGACAAACAATTTACACTCTTATAAACAGTGTTGGGTTAACTGATAGACAAAATAAGCACTACTATCATATTTTATTTATTGGAAATAAATAAAAATATCAAGTAATTCTCTTTTTAGACGATGATGGTGACTTTTTTAGAAGTAAGTAAACTATAATTTCTTTAGAAGTAAACAATTTTTATTTATATAAAGTGATAGTTATAAAAAATTTATTTCAAGTATGGAGAAATCAGTAGCATATTTTTTATCAAATATTTGTATACTAATAGTAATTTGATTGTTGGTAATAGTTATATAGTTATATACACGCAGCTATTTAATAGCGAAATTTCATTATTGTATGTAAAATTCAAATCTTGAAATAAGAAAAAAATCTTTATGTGTTTTTCAACTAGAAACTTGGAATTTATTTTCTAGACCAGATGTTGTGATTATTATATTTTCTAGACTAGATGTAGTGCTTTATCATATGATATGCTAAATGTATATATTGTATTGTGTGTATATCTTAGATGCGCAGGAGATAATGGCAGAAGAGACTCTGTCTCTTCTGCCTTATTTTAAAGAATTCTTCGATAATCAAAGTTAGCATTTTCTATTTTTTCTTTTTTACTTCAGTTTTTTCGAAGTTTATGTTACAGTAAATAAATTTATGAACTAATCTTTCATACATTTTGTTTATTTAGAAAATTTAGAAAGTAGAGTTAGTAAGCAAAATTTCATTATATTACTTTTATGTATATTAAATAAAAAATAATGAGGTTGGCTTTAGTAATTTGTTCATCTATTTAGAAAAATTAGAAGATTTACAAAAGTCCATAGGTGAGTAAATTTGCTTTTATGTTTATTATACACCCTAATTATTTATGTACATCTAATATTAAATGCGTTTTTTCAATTTGAGATTAGTTTTGGACCTTGTACTTTTTGGTCAATTTTTTTAGATATCATTTTAAACTACATTTGTAAGTAACTATATTATGTTTTATGTCTCATAAAAGTTTTAATAAATAATATAATGTAATCACTTATATAGTGACAAATCCAACTTCCTCAGTAACGTATGTTGTTGTACTCACTTAGACTTGACTTATTACATTGATTGATTGTTTTTAATGCATTTTTAATTTTCTTTTATTTATGTCTAGCTGTTGCTTCTTCTGCTACAAGTAAGTTGTTCTATTCACTTATACTTACCTTAATTTATTGATTAATTGGTTTTATTGCATTTTTAATTTTCTTTTATTTATGTCTAGCTGCTTCTTCTGTTATAAGTAAGTCACTTATACTTAACTTATTACATTGATTGATTGTTTTTATTGCATTTTTAATTTTCTTTTATTTATCTCTAGCTGCTGCTTCTTCTGTTACAAGTAAGTTGTTCTATTCATTTATACTTGACTTAATTTATGGATTAATTGGTTTTATTGCATTTTTAACTTTCTTTTATTTATCTCTAGCTGCTGCTTCTTCTGTTACAAGTAAGTTGTTCTATTCACTTATACTTGACTTAATTTATGGATTAATTGGTTTTATTGCATTTTTAACTTTCTTTTATTTATCTCTAGCTGCTGCTTCTTCTGTTACAAGTAAGTTGTTCTATTCACTTATACTTGACTTAATTTATGGAATAATTGGTTTTATTGCATTTTTAACTTTCTTTTATTTATCTCTAGCTGCTGCTTCTTCTGTTACAAGTAAGTTGTTCTATTCACTTATACTTGACTTAATTTATGGATTAATTGGTTTTATTGTATTTTTAACTTTCTTTTATTTATCTCTAGCTTCTGCTTCTTCTGTTACAAGTAAGTTGTTCTATTCACTTATACTTGACTTAATTTATGGATTAATTGGTTTAATTGCATTTTTAATTTTCTTTTATTTATCTCTAGCTGCTGCTTCTTCTGTTACAAGTAAGTTGTTCTATTCACTTATACTTGACTTAATTTATGGATTAATTGGTTTTATTGCATTTTTAACTTTCTTTTATTTATCTCTAGCTGCTGCTTCTTCTGTTACAAGTAAGTTATTCTATTCACTTATACTTGACTTAATTTATGGACTAATTGGTTTTATTGCATTTTTAACTTTCTTTTATTTATCTCTAGCTGCTGCTTCTTCTGTTACAAGTAAGTTGTTATATTCACCTTTACTTGACTTATTACATTGATTGATTGCTTTTATTGTACCTTTTGTTTTTTAATATAGCTACAAATGTGCTTTCCAGTTTAATTAGTTAATGTAATAAGTCAAGTATTAGTGAGTAAAATAAATAAGTTGTTGTGCTCACTTGCACTTAATTTATTACATTATTTGCTTTTATTGTTTTTTTACAGTAGATTTTTTGTAAGTATTACCTTGGTAGATAGTTGTATTTATATATAATTTTTTTTTCAGGCTCGAAGTCATGGGAAGATTTCAGAAAGTATCGCTCCCAGCATCCAGGCCCTCAATCTATGAGGGCCTTCCATCGCTGGTGTTTGTATGGGGACGACCATCCCTCCTTTAGATGGAGGGATGGCACCCCATACAACACGGGGAATAGAGCGGATGCTGGGAGGAGAAGACAACGTGGCTCAAAAGTTGTCAATAATTTTTTTACATATTAAAATGTAAATAAATTTAAAACTTTTGAGCCACTTCATTTTTTTTTTGTAATATATTTTTGTAAATTTATTTTTGTGTTGTTTTTTAATTTTTCCCATGAATGTTAAATGTTATCAAAGTAAATCATTTAAATAAAGACACCTTTATCAACAATGCTCATTAACTAGAAATAAAAGTCACGGTCATACATTTGATAAAGTTAATGTTAATCTCAAAGGGATTTGGTTTTCACACAATCAAATTCTATGTAGCACCTTCCAGAACTAAGAATATAAGTGTGTGGTGTTAGTAGTTTAAAATATGTATAATAAACTCAGAATAACTCAATAACCCTCAACAAAACTATGAACTAATTTTTAAATTCAAGATAAGCTTTTTTATTTATTAATATCTCCCCTCCCAATAACTCTAATTTTCCTTAAAAAACTAATTTTTTTGTCCTTTGAAGGTGGTTCTGCTATTTAATTAATTGTTGTGATGTTTTATGCAAATAGATTTAGCTCACATTCATGTTGGTCTGTCAGGGTTATGTAAAAATAAAAAAGTAAGTTTCTTATTCGCATTTTTGAGTTTTCAAAAGTATTAATTGCATGACATGTTAATTTGTAATTAATGTGTATGATTATGCGTTTAAATAACTTTGTTCCATTTTTAGTTCCGTTTCTTATAGCTGACTTGATTATGGCTAACCTAAAGCTTAATATTTATGAAACAATGATTCAATTTAAATTGTATTATAAGTAGCTCTGTTGAATAAATTTTTTTTTTGTAATTTGTACTTAAGGTTATTTTTTTAATTTTATATCAAGAAAAATATGTTTTTAAGTAAATATCTATATTTTTTTATTTTGGGATTTATTGTTTTAAATGGATATAAAAATCATTTTTGCTTTGTCTTTTATATTTCCTTTTATTATATATGAATAGGAACCATTTATGATTTAATCACCATTAGCACTCGAAGTTTCCATTTGCATTAAGTATCGATTTTTGGCACACGCAACAGGTTTAATAACTTAGGCAGTAAAAACAGCTTGAATGATTTGTTAAGAGTCTTTAAAGAAACGCTTTTACGAAAAGCATTAAATAGATAAAGCTAACTTATTTAAAATAATAAGTCTTTAACCCGTTTTTCTATATCCAAATTTACTTTTTAAATAAATGTTGATGAAAGGGTAAAATATCGTTATAGCCTACGTTAATTTTAAATTCTTTTTTAATTAAAGGAAAGAGTTTTAATACTTATTTAAATAGGGTTAATAAAATATTTTAAATTTTATTATATATATTATATTTAAGAAATTATTAAACTAAATTAAATAAGATTTTTAGATGAAACAGTAAAAATAATTGTTTCAAATACGTGCGTGCAAATAATTCCTACAAATACTAAACGTAAAATAACGCTTACAAACACCAAAAGTATGTTTGCAGTGAATAAAGTTAAGTTCAAAGATAAATAGGAAGAAATGTTTATAACTGTTTCAATAATAACATTTATTTTTAATTACTTTTGTTGTAAGTTGGGATGAAAAAAAAGGTCACTGGAGTATGAACTCCCGGGGTGAGATGACTATATCTGTCTAAGTGTTGCGCGTCTACCAATTAGCCCATAAACGTATTTTCTATTTAGAATTTAAGACTATTTATGACGCATAAGAAGTGTAATTAAAAATTCAAAACCAACTTTGCAACAACTGAATTTAAATAAAATCTTAATAGATGTGTATATGTTATGAACGTTAACTAAGGCGTACTTTAACGGCGTCACGTGTTGAATGTTTTAGCATTTTTCTAAGTTCGTAGTCTTTTTTACGTTTTTTCTTATTAAAATTTTTATAATCGGCATAATATTAAAATCGTTTGAAGTTTTTAAAAGAACATTTCAACAGAAATGTTTTTGTCATATCAAAAAGTAAGTATAGTTTTTTATATGTACATTTTTAAACGGTTTTAAAAAAATATTGAGGTAAGGAATAAGTATAGAAAAGGTCGGTGTGGAATAGATTTACTAAGACCCTTAGTTTACGTCCGGATAGCTATAGATAAGTATAAAAATGGTCGGTTCAGTAAAGACCCGTATTTTACGGGTCCCCCCAGCTAGTAATGCATTAATAAACGTTTTTATTTAAGCGCTTAAGCTGCCGTAACTCGTATTGTTGTAGTTCGCACTACAACAATACGAATTATTGTGTGAAATATTATGGTCCAGTGCGTCCATCTGTTCTTATAACGTCAGTTCAATCAAAAACTCGTGTTCTATGATTAAGGATAAGATGTTTGTGTTTTTTATGTCAGGTTGTAAAAATATTATATTTATGTTAAAGCTACACGAGTTTTCTAATTATTAAAGCTGATCCTCTCCAACATGGCTATTAATATTTTAACATGCATCATAAACGGACTAAACGACCAAACAAAACACGACGATTTTTTTGGGTTTCTAAAAAAATCCTCCTTCGATCTTATCCTCCTACAGGAAACACACTCTAGACCTTCCACTGTTAAACAGTGGGAAGACGAATGGACTGGCGAGTCCATTTGGAACTCCGGTCCAAGTCATAACTGTTGCGGGGTGGCGATTCTCTCTAAATCCAACATTTTCCTAAACTAACTATAAAGAGATAATAACGATAGAATATTAGGCGTCATGATAAAAAATTGACGAACACAAAATGCAAGTGCTGAATATTTATGCTCCCAATGTCCCGAGAGAAAGGCGCCTATTTTTTGGCAGCCTTGGAGAATCCTCGCAGGGCACAGGACTACCTAACCGGAGATTTCAACAGGGTCGAAAGCCTGCCTCTCGACACAGAAGGCACTAACAACGCTAAATATCAAACTTATGGCATTGACGAACTCTGGGTCAAAGTTAGTATAACCTAGTTGATGTTTTTTGTTTTAAATTTTAGTAAAACTAAGAGAGGACCAGGATTCTGAAAATTAAATTGCTCCCTATTAAAAATTGATGTACGCAGGCAAAAAATTGAACTCTCAATTAAAAATTGGCAAACTAAAAAACGTTCCTATGAGTCTTTTTTAAAATGGTGGGACGACTGCAAACTTTTTGTTAGGGTTAAATTACAACAAATATCGATACAGGAAAGTGCGAAAAACAAAAAATATATCAAAAGGATTCAAAACGAAATCCAACGGAAGCGTTTTTCCCCATTACCTAGTTTCATTTTATCTATAGACCAAGAAAAGGCGTTTGACAAAGTTGATTGTGCGTTTTTGCTGCAAATTCTTCAAAAATTCAATCTCGGAGAAAATTTTTTATTTTTAGTTAACACCCGATATTCAGAAGTTTCAGCATCTGTTCTGAACTGCGTTTTTTTGTGGGTCTTCTTTCCTACGGAAAAAAGAATCAGACGAGGCGACCCACTCTCTCTTCTGTTGTACGTCTTTGTTGCCGTAGCTCTTGCTTTGGTGGTCAGAACGGATAGTAGAATAGAGGGTTTCCCACTCCCAGCAACATCGAAACCCCTTAAGTTACATCAATACGCAGACGATTCGAAATTTTTTGCCAGGGACGTAAAATCTGTCCGCTATTTCTTTGAAAAAGTAAAACTTTTTGAAAAAGCAAGTGGTTCATTGATCAATGTCTAAAAAACCAGGGGTCTTGCTCTTGGG